GCAACTGTGAATAATAATGACACAGGAAAGACACGTCGGAGGGGGAAGTAGAAACAGAGTCACTTCCTGTTGAGGGTCACAGACGCGCCTTTCTCAAAGGAGGCAAGTGGCGACCTGACGCCATCGTTTCTGCTGCAGGTTGTTGTGACGTCAGTTTAATCGTTTCACTGAAACTTACTAACATCGAAAATCATGACTAGAGTTCAGCCTGGTCCGCCTGCTCCATGAACGCTGGATATGACAAGTGTGATCTTTGAATTTGACCTGACAAGTGGTGCAGGTGATGAAGGCAGATTATGATGACGTCATAATCTTTTTGCTCTCTGAACTTTGTGATTGAGCCCCCCCACTCCCCCTCCCCGCTCAGCAGCGTGCTCTGTTTGTTTCAGGGCGTGAACTTGGCGGCGGTGAGGAGGATGTACCTCGCCCTTGTTCTCTTCTCGTTGCTGAAGGAAACGGACGTCTGGAGCGTCTCCGAGCGTTTCCAGCTGAGCCGTGGCTTCGTGCAGACGCTGCTTGGCTCCGCCTCTGCCTTCTGCTCCTGTGTGCTGCACTTTGCTGAGGTACCACTGGAGTTTACCCAGAGGTCATACCAAAATGGGCAGGCTGAAGGTGAGCCAGCAGGTGTGTCTCAGGTGAGATGGTGATGCTCTGAGGTTTCTGTGTCTCAGGAGCTCGAGGAGTTCTGGCCGTTCAGAGCGCTGCTCGCCGAGCTGACGCGGCGCCTCAGTTACTGCGTGAAGGCGGAGCTTATCCCTCTGATGGAGGTGGCCGGAGTCCTGGAGGTGAGACACCTCCTTCACCTGCTTTCTTCTTCTTCTTTTTCTTTTTCTCCTCCTGCATCCTTTTCTTACTGTGTGCTCGTGTGACATCATTGAAACACGTTAAGAGTGATGAGTTTCCGCACCGTCACAGTTCAGGGTGATGACATCATCAGCCTGTTGTCTGCTTGGAGGGTTTACAAAAAAAAAACGTATTCTGTTATTTTGTGACATTTTTCTTCTCTCTGCTCAGCGCACGTCAACGCATCAGCACTCGCATCCTCTGCTGTCACTCGATTCTACTTCCTGCCCAAGTGCACATTAGAGCTCCAGTACACTCCCATGTCTATGTAATAAACACGTGCGTTTGTGGACCATTTCAGCAGTTACTGATCACATGAACACCATCTTCCACCTCAGCTCAGGTTTTAATTTGTAAAAGGGTTATTACAGCTTTAAGTTCCTTCCTGTCAGCTTTCATTGATCCTGTTAGCATCCATTCTTTCTTCTTCTTCTCTTTATTGATGTTTCTGAAAGCAGCCCTGGAGGTGTACCTGATGATGGTAGTGAAGGTCAGGGAGAATGTTCAGGTTCTGTGTCTTCACTCCGTCATGTTAACGTGTTAAATGTCCCATCATGGCTGTAAAGTTTTACTTTATCTCACTGTGACGTGAAAGCTCAAAAGGATTCAGGCCACAGCTTTCTTCTCTGAAGATCGCTGATGCATCCGGCTCCCTCACACTTCAATTTATTAAACTCCTCTTAGATCACTTTTTATATTTTGGTTTAAAAACGCTGCAGAAGGGTGCCAGATGTTTCTCATGTCGGCTTATTCCACCCAGCCTGATTAATCAGATTCACTCTGGAGACATTCAAACTAAAAGGTCACGTTTCAGGATTATTTGAACTTTATTTTGTAGACATATTTAAACTGGCTACAGGAAGT